GACCTTCAACCCAGTCTCCTTCCTGGCTCCCAGTCTCTACCTAGCCTTGGGGGTCTTCTTGCACCTAGAGCTGACCCTGCTCTCTGCTGCTTACAGCCCACCCCTGCTCACAGCCCTCCCATGGCTCCTTGATACCCCCCGGCTGGTTGGGGATACTTTGTGGTCGACCTTCACTTTGTGGTCTGGTTCAACTGTCTGTGATCCTCCTGGGACCCCATTTGTACTTACACAACTCCAAGCTGCTCCTTATTTCCTGATAGACCAGGCTGTGTCCTGCCCCTGCTGTGCCTTCTGCCTAGGTGCTCTTTCTGCTCCACTCTCTAGCCTCTGCTTTCTGTCCTTCCCTAGTCCTGCCTAGGGTGGGAGACGGGGGCTCTCTACGCACCGTGAGATTGAGATCAAAATTTACTGATTCTCTCTGCTATCACCTCCAGGAAGACATCCTATCCACAATCCTCAGGCTACCTTTGCGTGTCCTTGGGAACTCCTGTAGCCCCTGGACTTACCACCCTCCACCCTGGCCACACTGAGTTGGAATCCTCTGTTTATCCTGCTGTCCCCACCCTGCTATTCCCACCCTGCTATTCCTTGCTGCCCCACCCCATCTTCAGGCAGCTCCTTACAGGGAGGGCCAGGTCTGACCCACCCCTGAGTTCCCAGGGTCACTCTCACAACTCCTTCAAGTTTTTTTTTTGTTTTTTTTTTTGAGACAGAGCCTCAAGCTATCCCCCTGGGTAGAGTGTCATGGCATCACAGCTCACAGCAACCTCCAACTCCTGGGCTCAAGTGAGTCTCCTGCTTCAGCCTCCCAAGTAGCTGGGACCACAGGCGCCCACCACAACGCCCGGCTATTTTTTGGTTGCAGCTGTTGTTGTTTGGCGGGCCCTGGCTGGATTCGAACCCACCACCTTAGGTGTATGTGGCTGGCGCCTTAGCCACTTGAGCCACAGGCGCCGAGCATCCTTCAAGTCTTTATTCAAACATCAGCTTCTCTGTGAGGCCTTCTCTGGTCACCTACTTAAGTTTGCAGCCCCTAGAGTCCCTGCTCCTGTGCTTGCTTTATTTCCCCCATTCCCTTATCACTTCATAATCCACGGTGTAATTTACTTATATATTGCTTTAGTATCATGCCCCCCTTCTGGAATTTGAGCTCTGGAGTTGGGGGAGAGTTTGATGTGTCTACTGCTGCTTTGCACAGTAGGTATACCATGGGAACAATTCTCGAGCCCCCTTGCCTGGGTCCACTTCCTGTTATGTGACCTGAGGGAGTTACTTGGCCACTCTGGGCCTTATTTTCCTCTCTGTACAATGGGGATGATGGTAGTACTTACTTTTTTGGATTGTAATGAAGATTAAATAAGCTCTTAAAACAAACAGAGTCTGGCACACGGTAGGTGTTGGTAGGCACACAGTGAGTATTGTTATTATTGGTAGTCATAGTAATAGAAGTTTATTTAGTCATTTATTCAAAACATAGCTAGGCAGAGCATGGTGGCTCACATTTGTAATCCCAGCACTCTAGGAGGTCGAAGTGGGTGGATTGCTTGAATGCAGGAGTTCAAGACCAGACTAAGCAAGAGTGAGACTCAGTCTCTACTAAAAATAGCAAAACTAGCCAGGCCTGGTGGGGGTGCCTGTAGTCCCATTTACTCAGGAGGCTGAGGCAAGAGGATCAGTTGGGCCCAAGAGTTTGAGGTTACTGTGAGCTATGACACCACAGGACTCTACTGAGGGTGACAACGTGAGACTCTTGTCTCAGAAAAAAACCTCAAAACATAACAAGTGCTCTAGTCAGAACTTGTGTGTGCATGTGTATGTCTGGGTGTGTACGTGTGTAGGGTATTAAAAGGTATTTTTGGCAACCCACTAATACTGAGTCTCGGCCCAGGGTACATTTTCCATGAAGTTGATGAAGCTTTATTTTTGAAGGCCCCAGAGAGGCTGGAGCAATTTTGTGTTCATAATCTGGGATTCCTTTCCTGGAAAGGACCCTGAAGGATGGGAAATGTCCATCTTGGGCCTATCCCATACCAGCCACACTTTCTCTCTGTCTAGGAATGCTCCATCTCAGTGCTTCTCCCTACCAGCTCCCCATACCTGCTCTTTCTATTTTTCATCAGGACACACATGGGGCATACATGTCACCTCTGCAGGGGTGAATTCTGTCTGCCCAAACAAGCTCCTTGTTGAAGGGACTCAGAGCACTGGCCATCTGGGATCTCTTGATAACCACTGTCTCCCCTTACCTCTCCCACCTGACCTTGTCTGTCCTGCTCTCTGTGTACCCCAGCATGTGCCCAGGGACTTGCTTGATAGAAAAGACTAGAGGACTGGGCGTCACCTGTGGCTCAGTGAGTAGGGCGCTGGCCCCATATACCAAGGATGGCAGGTTCAAACCTGGCCCCGGCCAAACTGCAACAAAAAAATAGCCGGGAGTTGTGGCAGGCGCTTGTAGTCCCAGCTACTTGGGAGGCTGAGGCAAGAGAATAGCCTAAGCCCAGGAGTTGGAGGTTGCTGTGGGCTGTGAGACCACAGCATTCTATAGAGGGCAATAAAATGAGACTCTGTCTCTTAAAAAAAAAAAAAGACTAGAGGACAGAATTGAATAGAAGTCCTTGAGCTATGTCAAGTGTTCAGGAAAAACTGTTGGAAGTCACTTTATAAAAACTCACACACATAAACATAAATTCTGAGCAGAGCATTTGTTATGTTTTGGATAAATGATAGTAAGCAAAAATTTGAGAAACACTTTCAGATCCCAGGAGTAGCAAGAGAGTAGGGACGATCATGTCAAATGTCCCTGGTACCCAGGAATGTCTTTGTGAGACAATGAAAAAGGAAGACCTATGCCTGCCTGTGAGATCCATTCAGATCTGTCCTTGGAGCTGTGTGACCCTGGATAAGGTCCTGCCTCTTTCCAGGCCACTGTTTTCCCCATCCAGCCTGTGAGAGGCTTAGCACTGAGGCCCCTGCCTTCTTGTCTACTTCCCCCGACCCTACCTGCCTCCACTCCTGCTGGACAGATCAGGGTTAAGCCTGACAGGACAGGTGTGGTCACTGATGGTGTGAAGCACTCCATGAACCCCTTCTGTGAGATTGCTGTGGAGGAGGCTGTGCGACTCAAGGAAAAGAAGCTGGTGAAGGAGGTCATTGCTGTCAGCTGTGGTCCTGCTCAGTGCCAGGTGCTCAGGGTCCCAGGGAGTGGAGTGTGGACCCCTGAGTCTGAGGAGGGGGAAGGTGCTGTGGGCCTGGACCCCTCGGTCTAAGGGAGGAGGAGGCTGGGGGCCTAGACTCCTGGATCTGAGGAAGGAGGGGGTTGGGGTCCTGGACCCCTGGGTCTGAGGGAAGGTCTGGGGGCCCAGACCTCCTAGTCTGATGGAGGAGGGGGCTGGGGGTCTGGAACCCTGGGTCTAAGGGAGGAGGGCCTGGGGGTCTGAACTTCTGGTCTGAGGAAAGAGGGACTGGGGGACCTAGATCCCTGGGTCTGAGGGAGGAGGAGCTGGGGGCTTGGATCCTGGGTCTGAGTGAGGAGGGGCTGGGGGACTTGGACCCCTGGGCACCCCCAGTGATGAAACCAGCTCAAGCCCTTCTGTCCTTGGCAGGAGACCATCCGCACTGCCCTGGCCATGGGTGCAGACCGAGGCATCCATGTGGAGGTTCCAGCTGCCGAGGCAGAACGCTTGGGTCCCCTCCAGGTGGCCCGGGTCCTTGCCAAGCTGGCAGAGAAGGAGAAGGTGGACCTGATGCTGCTGGGCAAGCAGGTGGGTGTGGCCACCTATCCCCACCTCCCTATCCCCACCTCATCCCTGCTCAGGAGGGAGGCAGGGGTGTTGGTGAGATGCAGGGGTCCCAGGCCCAAGGCATTCAGACAGTCCTGGTTGAACAGCTTGGGACTTTGCCATCACTCTTGCAGGGTTACTGGGTATCAGAAATATCCTTTGAGGTCCTCTTTGAGCCTAGGAGGCTATGGTGATGGTCCTGGGCCAAGGCCAAGGAGACAGGGCAGATAGACATGAAGTGGCAGGAGGGACAGGGCTTGATTGATGGAGACCAAGCTAGGGGGAGGAGGTAAGGGCAGTGCCTGGTCTGGCTTAGTAACACAGAGGTGGGACACGCAGAAAAGAAAAGAATTAGAGGATAATTCCGAAGCAACATAGGAAGTGTAAAGAGCCCAAGTGATAGCATGTGAGTTTAGGAGACAGGCTTGGGCTTGAGACAGAGACTGGGGGCTATTGGAGAGGCCTGAGGAGCCACAGGAGGTCTGTGAGCAGGAGAGGAATGGCATCAGTGCCAGTAAAGAAATGCCCCGTCTCAGGCTGTGAGGAATGGGCTGGAAGGGGGGAGTTGGAGGCAGGGATTTTGGGAAGGAGTTTGGGCAAAGCGAGGAGCTGCCTGGAACTGCCCCTACTGTATGTGTGGGGCTCATCTCTTCCTTTAGGAGACCTGGAGTTACCTCCCCTTCCCAGGAGCAGTGCCCTTAGCTCATTGTGTGTGAGGACAGACCTTGTGGCCTCACTCAGGTAGGGCAGAGCAGAGACATCAGAAAAGCCACAGGTGTACTTCTCAGGAGTGAGAAGAGGCAGGGAACTGAGGCCAGAGGCTGAGAAGGAGGGCCAAGGACTGTGAAGTACAGTGAGTACAGAGTTAGCCAGGCACAGGAGGTTCAGAGGTGGAGCTGGGCCCCAGCAGGGAGAGATGGAGTCCAGGGGGCCAGGTCAGCACTGGGAAGAAAAGGCAGCTAATAAGTCCAGGGAGACCACTAGATGTCCCCTCCAGCCCTATGAAAGCCAGACAGTAGAAAATGGAGATCGCCAATGTCAGGGGAGTCAGAGTAAAAATTAGTAAACTGAGGTAAAAGGGCCTAACTAGAGAACAGACCAAAAAGACAGGGCTTGGGTGGGGCTTTGGGGCCCAGGTACTGGCAGTATGACCTACTGAAGCCTCCTGCATTTGCTGGTGGGTCTTGGACTCTTGTGTCCTCCTGTCCAAGCTGTCAGGGATGTTCCCAGAGTCAAGGCAGGAAATACCAGATGAATGGGACAGGATGCTCTTTGTTCTAAGTAGCAGTCACAACTCAGACTGGCCTAAGTCAAAAAGCAAATGTATTAGGTTATGTAAATCAGGTGCTTCAGGCATAGCTTGATCTAGGCTCACACATGAGCTCTAGGCTCAGGTATCACTTGGCTTCACTTTGCATGTCCAGGCTCAGATCCCACCAGCCTACTGACCTTAACATAAAGAAAAGAGCCTCTTTCTCCTGGTGCCAAAGCCCCCAGGGCTAACAAAGCAATAACTGGGGTCGAGAACAGAATGTTCTCCTTGGCCAGATCCAGCACCTGACTCCCCATGGTGGGCGGCATAGGGCTTAGCTCATGGAAGGCTTTATACAGGGGCAAAGATTGGGCAGTGGGAATGCCAGGTAGCCCTACACAGCCCTGCTTGCATGTGGCCCAAGTAAGGGGATTATTCTAAACCAGTGGTCAGCAAACTATGGCCCAGGCCTCCCACTGATATTGTAAATCAAGTTTTATTGGAATGCCACTACATGTGTTCATCTAAATGTTTAGGGCTGCCTGTGCTTTTTGGCAGAGTTGAGTAGCTGTGACAGAGACCATGTGACCTGCAAAGACTAAGACACAGCAGAACGTCAAGTTGACCACCCAAGGGACTGTAACAAACTGGTCAACATATGGAGGTGATCAACATAAGGAACTTCCATTGAATACCTGTGGGACATGTCTGATCTGTGAAAATCAGGTCAACTTAAGGAGGTGGTCAATGTAGGGACATGATAAGCTATGGAGGTTCTACTATATTCTCATTACAGAGCAGGTTTGCCAACTCTGTTGTAGACAGAGGCCTGAATAGGCCATGAGAATCTCCATTGATCATCCTACTGTCTTTCTTCTCTCCCCACTCAGGCTATCGATGATGATTGTAACCAGACAGGGCAGATGACAGCTGGATTTCTGGACTGGCCACAGGTGAGGTTGGAGTAGTTTTGAGGGCACTCATTCCTCATCCCTCAAACTTCATGGCCTTGTACCTGCTGTTTCAACCTCTTGGGACACTGTTCTTTCATGCTACCTGGTGACTTTGTCATTCCTCTTCTTTAGGTGTCTGCCCTCACATCATCTCCTCCAAGGGGCCTTCTCTGTCTCACCATGTGAAATACACATGCCTTGGCTCAGCGCCTGTAGCTCAGTGAGTAGGGCACCAGCCACATACCCTGAAGGTGGCGGGTTTGAGCCAGGCCCAGGCTTGCTAAACATCAATAACAACTGCAATCACCACCATCACCACCCCCTCACCACCCCCTCAAAAAATGGCCAGGCACTGGGGCGGGTGCCTGTTGTCCCAGCTACTCAGGAGGCTGAGGCAAGAGAATCGCTGGAGCTCAAGAGTTTGAGGTTTCTGTGAGTTGTGACACCATGGCCCTCTACCAAGGGCAAAATAATGAGACTCTGTCTCAAAAAAAAAAAAGAAATACTCATGCCTGCCACTTAACTCCAATCTCTCTAGTCCCTATCTATGCCAGTCCAATAGAAATGCAATTCACATTAGTAATTTTAAATTTCTCAAATTTACTTTAAAAAAGTAAGAAGAAATAGATAAAATTCTTTAACCCCACTGTATCTAAAATAATACTATGTTAACACGTAATCAACATAAAATATATTGAGATACGGATGCTCCACAACTAGCGCTGGGGTTATGTCTGATATGCCCCCTGTAAGTTGAAAATATCCTAAGTTGACAGTGCATTTAAGACTCCTAACCTATTGAACACCAGAACTTAGCGTAGACTACTTAAAACGTGCTCAGAACACTTACATTAGCCTACAGCTGGGCAAAATCATCTACCACAAAGCCTATTTTGTAATAAAATGTTGACTATCTCTTGGAATTTATTGAATACTGTATTATAAGTGAAAAACAGAATGGTTATATGAGTACTTGCTATGGTTTCTATTGAATATGTATTGTTTTGGCACCATAATAAGGTCAAAAAATCTTAAATCATTCTAAGTTGGGGACCATTTGTATTTTATGTTCTTTTCCTTGTTATACTGAGTCTTGACAATCCAGTGTGTATTTTATCTTTACAGCTCATCTCAATTCAGATGCTAACTTTTCATCTGGAATACTTAATTTAGATTCCTAAAGCTCACAGTTGAATAAAAGTAGATTCACATATCCACATGGTTCCAAACAGACTTGAAAGTTTTCTGATAAATGCATCAAATATCACAGTTTTTCTTTTCTTTTCTTTTCTTTTTTTTTTTTGTTTTTTTGAGACAGAGCCCTCAAGCTGTTGCTCTGGGCATCACAGCTCACAGCAACCTCCAACTCCAGGGCTTAAGCGATTCTCTTGCCTCAGCTTCCCAAGTAGCTGGGACTATACGTGCCCACCACAATGCCCAGCTATTTTTCGGTTGTAGTTGTCATTGTTGTTTGGCAGGCTTGGGCTGGATTTGAACCCACTAGCTCTGGTGTATGTGGCTGGCACCTTAGCCACTTGAGCTACAGGTGGTGAGCCATTGCAGTTTTTCTTAACAGCGTTATTGAAATATTACATACAATAAACTGGGTATATCCAAAGTTTATTATAATTTGGTAAGTTTTTTTTTTTTTATTTGAGACAGAGTCTGACTATGTTACTGTTAGTAGAGTGCTATGGCATCACAGCTCACAGCAACCTCAAACTCTTGGGCTTAAGCTATTCTCTTGCCTCAGCCTCCTAAGTAGCTGGGACTATAAGTGCCTGCCACAATGCCTGGCTATTTTTTTGTTGTGGTTGTCATTATTGTTTAGTAGGCCCTGGGCCAGGCTCAAACCCACCAGTCTGGGTGTATGTAGCTGGTGCACTAACCACTGAGCTATAGGTGCCGCCCTATGAACAGGTATACCAGTGAAGTGATCCCTATAACCTTGATAACATATTTTGAATGTTGGTATTTAAATTTAAATAAAATTTAAAATTCTGTTCCTCACCTGCACTGGCCATATTTCAAGTGCTCAGTAACCACTGGAGGCCTGTGGCTACCAGCTTGAACAGCATATTCTAGGCCATGATCCTACTTTATCTTCTTTGAAGCATTTATCACTATCTGACCAACTTCCTGAAAGATGCCCCCATCTTCCGTATCATTATGTCTTGTTTTTTTTCCATATTCTTTCTTAACTGAAACGATCTCATTTGTCTGCATGTTTCCTTGGTTACTGGTTATTTTCCCCAGCAGATTATATGCCTTGTTGGTCATGTGCATGGTGTATTCACAGAACTGAGCTCATAGCCACTTGGTGGAGGCCAATGAGACATGAAAGAGACATGAAAGATGTGCCAAATAGGGTGATGCCTATGGCTCAGTAAGTAGGGCTTCAGCCCCATATACCAAGGGTGATGGGTTCGAACCTGGAACCTGCCAAACTGTAACAAAAAAATAGCTGGGAGTTGTGGTGGGTGCCTGTAGTCCCAGCTCCTGGGGAAGCTCAGGCAAGAGAAT